TAAGTATTTAGTTAGATATCACTTGTCAGCAGTGCAGTTTGCGAGATTTTTAATGTCTATCCATAAATATGTTCGTAATGATGTCGAATGATTCACACACACCCACTCTTTGCTTTCAGAACACTCCACAATACGACAAAAACGTTTCTGAAAATCACCTGAATGAATAATGAACAAAAGTAATTAATGGTAGGTAATATGCGAGAATCAACAAATCGTCAATGATAATGTCGAGCAATGCAAAAAGCACGTAGTCTCTTTTAAAAAAATGGTAATTTGACAGTTTTCTTTTAAATCAACACGTCATGACTAGACGGAGAGAGATCTGAAAATATATCTCACCACAATAAGTGACGTTTGACATCGTTTTCATTAAGGAATCTGCGAAAATACAAACATCTTGCATCACAACATGGTTTTTGAGTGTTATTGGTGTTTTGGGCCGACGTTAGCAACTTGACATTTGATAGAATAGATGTGCGACAAATAAAAACAGAATATCGTTCATTGAAATACAAAAAAATCATTCATTTCAAGTGGATATGAGGTGATAAAAATCCTCATTCCTAATATACACAACGAGATCATCAGTATACTTAAAAAAGTGTTTTCCATTGAAGACTGGTCAATGTTTATTATCTTGATGGAGGTAAGTGAATTAATGTCATTGAATTTAAAACGCCGTATGCAGGGAGCAACTATCGTGAATCTGATGGGATCACGTTTAATCAACTTGTTGAGATACAATGAAGAAGGAAAGAAATAGGCATGTAAATGAATACGTAATGTTTTATGTAACCCACAAAACGAATATCTTCATTACCGTATTGTGAATTCCTTCTCATTTCAGTTGAAGTTGGAATTACTGATTGTGGAAGGTGAATTTTCAAATTTCAAATCTTGATTACAGATAGTCAAACAATAATGACATTGACATTTGATGATGTGTTATCAGTAACCAGTCTGAGTAGATCTCATTGAATGTAAGACAATTGTCAACGCATTTGACAGATTCAGCTACCAAAACATTAATCAGCAACACTTGTTCTCAGTGGTCTCATCCTAACGTTAGTTATATATTTTTAAAATACAGGTATTCACCGATAATCATAACGAAAATGTTTCGTGTATTATTTCATATTATGTATCATTCAATGAACTGAATAATACATTTGTGGTATCGGTTGTTATGTTAAGCCCATGTTGCCTTATTCTAACAACTGGACAAGTCAATTCACCTATCCATCATGAATCACGTTTTCAACTTGTCAATTATTCTCTTCTTAGCTCCGATTATTTTTTATATGAGCGTGGGTGTGTGTACCCTTCTTATCCTATTTATCACATGTCTGTCATTCATTGTTGTCTGACTATAAATATTGAATAAAGCTTGATTAAACTGGGTTGACTTACCCGCCATCTCCAATGCGTGTCATTTTCGTTTCGTTCGCTGATATTTACTCATGTGCTTATAAATTTTTGGCCTTCGTCATTTGTCAATAAAACTGTAGCTGCCGCTTCTCTTTGTCTTCTGAGTTTATGCACCTTTCAGATTTGTATAATATTAGTTATCGAAGTGAACGATTAGAGAAGCATGGCAGTACATACTGTGCTTAAATATTTGATCTTTGTTTCACAAGAATGAGAAAATTAGATTATTTCTTTCCTAGTATAATCTGTTATCATTTTGTGCATCATCACATCATAGCAAATGATCATACTGAAGTGAATGTCATCAGATATTCAAGACCATCCGTCATTAGATATTTCACTTATCGGTTGTTTGAAAGACTTTCAAAAATGTTGAACTGAGAAGTCGAACACCTTGTTCAACCATTCCATGCATACATATCATGCAGAACATTTGATACACATTGCTTTTGATCTATTGTATCCGCGAGTTCATTATGTTGTACTTGCTTTTGATTTGTATTTCAGATTTTTATACATGAATTGAAACTGGTAAATTACCGTAATCAGTGTGCGCTTTACACTGTATATTGTTGGTACAAAAGTGATTGTCAGTATCATTTATTATGATTGTATAACAGAATGGTACTCACAATGAAACAAAAATAGTACATTATTGTTAGTGTTAATTAGAAGAGTCATACTGTTTCATCACTTTTTATTATAAAGATACACGATGCATTGAAATGAATTGTTTTCTTTCCTTTTATCTAACCTGTTTTACAAGGTTTAGCCTGGATTTGTTGGTGCCGCATAATGTTTCTTGTAAGTTCTGAGTAAATAATCAAATGTAAATTCAAATAACCAAACATATAGTTCTGCAGGAATAAGGACATTGAAGCATTAGTGTTTTCTGTTCACAGCATTTTCAAGAATTCAACCTGAAACATTTCGATGAAAACATTACGATAGGTAAACCAGGATTTTTAAGAAGTAGACATCGATTGTTGAACTATTGATCGCTCAATTCGTTCTTCCATTTGATGACCTAAATCATGTCATGTTCTGTTATAAAATTGATTTTCCGTCCATATATCACGGATCACAACACAAGGCACTTACTGTCAATTTGTTATGCTTGAATATTGAGAAATTGCTAGGCTAAAAAACCTACATCTGTAAATGTTCAACACTTCACTTATACAGTTGTGTGTATGAATGCAACGATAAATAATCATCTGCTGCTTCATAATAACAGGAGATTATATTCACAGTAGCATATCTGGTAATACTATATGATGAACAGATTTCTTTTCTCTACAGTTATTTTCCTAGTGAGTTATGAAGTTGTGAGAGATTGATACCAATAAATTAGTTTTGATTCAGGAATGATAAATCGTATAACAGTAGTCAATAGATGGAATGGATGCTCATACGAAAAGAAATATAAAAATATAAAAAATATATACGAAAATATATACGAAACAAAGATACTCAATAGTTTATTAATAAGAAAATATATTCATATATAATAACTGTCCATAAATAATTTCTAGCGGTTACCAAACACTTACTTCATAGTTCGCCCTATTATTTTAAAGAAAGCAAAAACGACTGATGGTCAAGAAAACAGACGTTCACACGCGAGTCTGAAGTAATGAACGTGTGTTCTAGTGTTCCGTGCTAACACGAAACGATCTCACATTAATACAGTTTTTCAACGGAGCTTTAGCCATGAACAGTAAGTAATATTAAATGTGAAGAATTTCTAATAGATAACTCTTCATGTCAAGAAGTTGATCATGTGGAATTAAGTGAATGGATCTGATGACATTTTCATAGCTGTTCAACACTGTATGATAATTCAACATTCACTCATGAGAAAGAATATTGACTTCGTCATTGGAAATGGTTGAATCAGTTAACGAAATCACAAAACAGGTTGTTTATTACGAAAACAAACTCACTTGTTATGTTAAGTTACATATATTACTTTTAAAGTTGTATCATGACACCTTATAAATTATCAGTAATTTCTTATTAAATTCTACGCTGACAAATGAAAAATGTCGAACGAATTCGCAATGCATAAGAATCTGTTATATTACATGGATTACTTGTGTACCATGATGCATAATCTATTAGTTAAACTGAGTGGAATTTCTCAGTTTCCAATAACCAGGTTGAGAGTATGCTGATTTACAGCCCGTTTTCGTGAGTAATCGAGCAATTAATCAATCAAATAAGTGAAATTGTACGAAGCAGAAGAATTTACAATTTCGACACACAGCATTCTTATATGCAGTTAGTCAACCTACATGCAAACGGATAAGGAGTGGGTTTGTGTTTAGTTTGTTGGCAATATTATCAATTGTGAGGCTATTAGACAAAGAAGTGGAAGCATCACCTTCCACAACAATACTTACATCTTGCTGAGGAGTGCGTATTTACATGAAACCAGGTGTTTCGCTGTCCTCAAGGACTTCCATCAACAGCCACATTCCACATACATATGTATGTATTCATTATGAACTGAATGTGTCGATCTGGACCAGAGAAACTAATCATGCTATCAAAGAAAATAGATATCTAGTTACTGTCAATGTTTTGATGCTGTCTCATTTGGCTTCAATACACTGTGGATCAGTCATTGAGCTCATCGGATCATTTAGATAGTTCATCTTTTGAATTTCAAAGTGTTAGTACACATTCGTTTCTAATGAAGAAACAGTTAAATCAGTTTTTCATTCCTAAGCAAATCATTTATTCGGTTGTTTTCTACAAAAATTAGATTATCCAAAGTTCAATGAAAATAATAAACACTTATAAGTTAATAAATGTGATTCAACTCAATTGGTGAATTTCATTATAAATTTGTGTAGTTTTACTTTGATTGAAGGCTGACTGAACATTAGAATAATTCTGGGTGAGTTTGTTCATTTCTATTGAAGCGTAAAAAGTAGGCTTGAGTTGAGATTTGTTGATCAATCGTATTATAGGGAGCAATAATCATGGTTTCATTTCCTCGTACATGCCAATTACAATGTAGAACTTTCAGGAAAAAAGGTTTCAGCCAGTTTCCTTTTTAAACCCAAGGATGAATCTCATGTATTGGTAACTCGTTGTACTAAAAGATGGTGAAGATGAAAGCTGTGAGTGAAATGGATGTTAGGATACAGTTTTCGGATTTTCAATGTCTATCAACAACTCTATTCGTAATGATTTCAAAATACATGATGAGGTAAATATACTCCATTCTAACGTGCACAACGGGATCATCAGGATACTTACCAAAGTGTTTCCCATTGAAGATTAAACGGTGATCACTCTTTGATTGTTAGACATTCACTATTTAACTACAAATATATCAGAGAGAAAGAAATGACTTAACGTAAGGAACAACATATTTACCTTGAGCATTATTTATTGGGATAAATATACTGTTCAACTTTAGGTATCTTCATCGGTGTCAGTTAATTAAGTGATTGACTTTGAAACACCGTATTCAGTGATTAGCTAACGTGAATCTAATGGGATCATATTTCATACAATGAAAAAAGGGAGGAAACAAGCATGTGAATAAATATTGAATGATTTGTGTTATCTATGAAAATGAATATATCCATAACTCTATTGTGATTTCCTACTTATTTCAGTTGAAGTTGAAATTACTGATTGTAGAAGGTGAATTTTGAAAAGTGAATTTTCCAAACATTTTCATTACAGATAGTCAAACTATGATGACATTTGCATTCACCGATGTGTTCACAGAAAGCAGTCAGAATCACTCTCATTGCATGTAAGAAATCTATTATTGCGTTTGACAGATTCAGATCTACTCAATTAGGTAGCCCTCTTGTTCTCACTGGCCTCATTCTAACGTAAGTTATATATGTTTAAAATACAGGTATTCACCGATAATCATAACGAAAATGTTCCGTGTATTATTTCGTATTATACAACATTCAATGAACTGATTGATACACTTAGCCGAAAATGTGATCCATGTTCGACAAGAATATCATGTTTGAAAAAGATAGGAAAGTAGTTAATTTCTTTTTCAGTACAAACTATTGTCATTTTGTGTTACATCACATCATAGCAAATGATTATACAGAGGTGAATGTTGTGAGATGTCCAAGGCAATTTATCATTAGATATTCCACTTATCGATTATTTTGAAAACTTGTTTTGAAAACTATCGAAAATGTTGAATTGAGAAGTTGAGCATCCTGTTCACCCATTTCGTGCATAACAAATAGGTAGAACATTTGACGCACGTTGATATGATCTATTGTATGTGTGAGTATAGTGTATTGTACATGTTTTTGTTTTGTATTTCAGATTGATCGGTGTAGTCCTTGGATTAATAATAATACTCGTTAGAAAACTACACGTTACAACTATACTGAACATTATGTTCATGGTTATAACCGTCAGTTGAATATAATTTTAAAATTACATTCATGATATCTCCATCCAGTTATCAATTTAATTTCGTGTAAATTAGTTCTCCGAATAATAACAATGTTGTTGTGTTAGAATGATAACGGCAATCTAGATAGAAGAATTCTTGAATGTTGACTTGAACAGATGGTTTCCCATGTTGTATGTTAACATGTCATAATGTGTAGAGATCCAGTTTCTATATTTTAACTGAATTCACAGATTTGTCGATGCATATAATTCAGATCATCAGTCATCAGTTTGGATAATGAGCTATTACTTGAGTGACACTTTGTAAAATAACATAACATTAAGCAGTTTCTGTACATGTTGTGGATAATTCCGAACTATTACACGTGGATACACATAATACGTATGAATGGAACGTTCATCCACTTCTGGTGCTTTGACCACTTGTAAAATGTGGAATGAAATGTAAACGCAGAATAAGTGAACAAATTAGATTTTTGTCATTTAAGTTTTTACAGTCATCTACACACTTTATTTATCTGTGTACTTGTGTTCAATATTTCACAAGTCTACATTTGATGTTTCAAGTGTCAGTCTTATATTACTGGCTGTCATTGTTGTTCGTCTATCCAACTTGATATGATTCACACCGTTTAGGTGACAAACCTCACATTACGTGGTCATGTCTTCTGGATGGCCCAATTAGCTTTGAAAATGTTTCAAGTTTGTCAATAAGATAGACTTAAATATAGATCCCTTGTTATGTGCTTCTATCTTTAGATATTCATTTTTAATCATTCAAATCAACCGAATGCAATACAGTGAAGATTAGTCTCTCATTATTTATTCAGTTGTTGACCTGTTCATTTTCTGGACTATTGGTAAATTGACATATGCTTTTCTCTATTCAGATGATAATTTTGTTTGTTGGTGTTGCGTTACTAATGTCACCTGAACAATGGTATGAAATAATGATTTCTGCACCTTTGTCTGGCATGTTCTGCATCTTAGCCATTTTTTCGGGCTCAAATCTACAACTTTCGAATAGAAGATGGAAAATAATTTTGTTCACGATCTGTTGTGTATTTGTGGTAGCTGGATTCATTCTTTATGTTGTAGGGTTGACACTGCCTACGGTAAGTTTGTCTTTTCACAGATTACCACAAACTATTAGTGATTATTCACTTCAGTATTGTTTGTTTGAATCTTCCCATCGATTTCGTTAGGACTGCAACTGGTCAGTCTCTAATTGGCACATGTGCATACTGTGCGTATTGCCTCGTTATACCTTAATTCACAAGCATGATTAGCAAAGATGGATAGTGGCGTTTGAAGCGAGGGTACTGGGTTCGAGTCCCAGAGTGATCATCAGTTCTGAGATGCAGGTACATCGAGCTGACGAGTCCCAAATAGGACGGAACGCGCGTCCTGGTTTTCACTGCTAGCCACTATCCATTTCTGCTTATTAGTAATTAGTTATTATTATTGATTTTCCAATCGTTTACTCGCACAGTCACACTTTCCGCTCTTAATCATCAGCAAAATATTTCCAAACAGAAATATTCTACACTTCTTTATAGAATTACATTTTCCATTCATATTTCATTGAGGTTAATTCGGAACAAATCTTCCTATTTTTGCGCTTAAATCTACAACTTTCGAAAATACAATGGAAAATAATCTTGTTCACGATGTATTGTGTATTTGCAGTAGCTGCATTCATTCTTTGTGTTCTGTGTGTGACATTGAGAATGGTAAGTGTGTCTTATCACAGATTTTCACAAACTAGTAGTGAGTAGTGATTATTATAGATTTGCCAATGATTCACGCGAACAGTAACATTGTTCCTAACAAAATACACCGCACGTGATCATTAGCGAAATATTTCCAAACGTATAAAGTGTGAAATGGAACCAGTACTGTTTACACATAAATTGAAACTAGTAAGACTCTGTAATCTGTTGCGGCGTTTACACTGTATATTGTCAACACATAGCATCATGAAACAATGTTATTCTTTGAGAAGTCGATTCTCAGTATGATTTATTATGATTGCAAAACAGAATGGTAATCACATCAAAACCGGAATTGTACACCTTCCATTTTGATGGACTTTTGTTCTCTGAGCTGCATGGTATATATTCATGCGACCAGTTCGCATTCATGCAATCACTAGCTCAATGTTTCATCATACAGTTATTTCAGAAAATAATTCGTTATTTAGCAACTGTCAAGCATGAAACAGGATAGGTGCATGATGAGGAAATTCAGAATAATATACCGACTGAACTACTACATGAAGTGGCACATATCAGTTTAAAATCAGCAGCGTTAATTATCAGAATCATACTGTGGCCTCACTGATAATTATATAGATACATGATGAATTGAAGTGAATTGTTTTCTTTCCTTTGTTTCAGCTTGTTTTACAAGGTTTAGCCTGGATTTGTTTATGCTGCCTAATGTTTATTGTAAGTTTTGAGTAAATAATCAAATCTTAATTCTAATAACTCTTCGTCGAATGTTATGCACACAAAGATATCGTTCTGTTGAAATAAGGACTATGGAGTATCAGTATTTTCCATGCACAACAATCACAAGAATTCATCATAAGATATTTTGAAGAAGACACTGCGATATATGAAGAGGACATGTTGAAAGGAAGACCTTGAGTGTTGAAGTATTTTTCGCTCAATTTGTTCCTTTAGTTCAATGACTCGATTACCACGAACTTCTGTCATTGTGTTAGTATTTTGTTCTCTGAGCAGCCTTGTTTAGTCGTGCAGCTTTAATAGTATTTCTGAACGACACCATCAGCAAATACGTCGGGTAGAAGTGAAGTGTTTGAATTTCTCCATATGAGATTCACAGCTTGTCCTGTTCACCTCAATGTTGATTGGTTCTTATTGACCTTAAATCTGTCTTTTCTTTGTTTTGGTTTTATATATATATTCATGAAGATTATCTATGTGACATCAAGTTCACAATGGAACAAGAATCCAAAGACAAATTATTACTCCTGAATATAATAATCACCAGAACCGACACAGTTAAACTGGAAACTCAAGTGTTCAGGAAGACGACCCACACTGATCAAACTCTAAACTACAAAAGCAACAACCCAAGAGCTCACAAAATCAACTGCATACAAACCTTTTCGAAGAGGGCGAGAACACATTGGAACTCAATTACAACATGGAAAAATGATAAAAAATACCTGAAAAGCGTTCTCCAAAAGAACGGCTATGCAAACAATTTTGTCATGAAAGACTAGACCATTCCATCATCAGAAACGAAGTCGAGTATGGAATTCAGCAAACGGATCACCTTAACATTCATTAAAGGTATATCGGAAAAGACTACGAGACTGCTGAAAACTTTCGGAATATATGTTGCTCACAAATCAGCAAAACATCTATTCAAATTTATGCAAACGAAAGGATGAAATGGCAAAAGAGGCCAAAACAAACATCATATACAAAAGAAATTGTACAAACTGCGACAAACACCACATGCTTAAACCGGATGTACTCTTCATGTTCTGCTGCATGAATACCGATTCGTAGTCAAACACCATGACATATCTTCACTGATATCAATATACGTGGATAACTACGGACACATAATCGACTGACAAAATGTGAAGAATTCGGACAGTGGCAATTTGGAAAACTCCAGAAATTTTTTAGAAGCTTGGCACGCAGGTCAATGAGCAATAAACAAGCACATTGAAATAAATCTGATTTATCAAGCAATCAGGAAAATTATGCAGAAACATAGGAACAAAATTAAAATGAACGGGATATATAACCAAAACAAAGAAATGAACAATGATAGATTTAATGTCAATAAGAAACAATCAACAATGTGTTGAACAGGACAAGCTATGAATCACATACCGATATCCCTATATGCTTATTATTTCACTGATACATATGTTGATATGGATGCATTTATATTGAAGTCACCATCTATGTTTTGACAATTACAGGTTAGTATGTTCACAGCATACTATCTGAATATGCTCAACAAACAAGAAGTCTGCTCTTTATCATACTTACTTTTTGTATGGATTTATGAATACATTGCATTTGTCATCATAATACAATTTATTTTAAATACATTAATCGATTGTACTTCGAGCAATAGAAATCTAAACATGACGATGATTGCGCAGGATTAATGGATGAATTTCCACTGAGTATCTATATTAGTTTACAAATATTCACAGATATTCATTTGGAGTATTCTGAAGATTTTTGTTAACTGCATTGTAATTAATAATAAATGTTCTATTAAATAGATGTTCGTCTGTTACTTACAATTTTTGCATTGAAAGTATTCGTTTAAATTTCTAAAAGACATTGAAACACATTTCGATTATACTTGACACTAAAACAAACCAAATTGACAGGAATGATTTGTTCAACAATCGTATAGTGTTGTGACATTCACAAATAATTTA